TGTGATTATGTTTTGACAAATTTCACATGGATAGGAACACATACACCATAAAAATCTAAGTGTCATAAGGTTTCTCTCCGATTCATGAAAATGATGGTGAGGAAACGCTTTCACTAAGTAGATTTTAAGTAGATAGCAATTGTGATATTTGCATTCTCATGTCGTTAGTGGAGCGTGTGTGGTTAACCGGCACACTAACTAGTGAGAATGGCAAAAGGTCTACACAAACATGTGAGCTATCTAAGGAAAGGTGTATGATTTTGATAAAGTCTTATCAAAACAATCTTGTATCAGAAATCTGAACTTTGGCAAGAAAGTCAATAGAGTATTGATTTCTAGAAGTCCAGTTGATTTTTTAGTACATGTCAAAGCTAGTGGGAGCATAAGTGTTGTGCTAGTAAGATAATAATCATTGTGCTAGTGGGAGCATGATTATTATGGTTAGTGTTGCAAGATAGCAATGTTAATTATAGAAAACAAAAGGTTCAATTCGCTTTGAAAAGTTGTTTTGCTATAATTAAGGGAGAGAGGAAATTATACTTCATTTCAAATCTAAAAGCTTAGATCGTGAGATTTTAATCAAATTTAGTCAAGAATATATATGAATGTTATGTTGGAATGGTTCAACATAAGGAAATTCTATATATGGGAACATTATTTGCGTTCTAAAATTCGATTATGATTACGACACCCCTTTTCATAATCTGAATTGTGAGAACATGGCAAATAGAAATAGAAATATTATAGCAGAAAGACTGGTCTAGTATCATGTCTTTATGTGAGACATCATGAACCGTGTCCCATATGCTTCGTGTATAGGATCGATTACATGTGCTATAATATGTATCCATTCTATATTTTCCAAATGCCTAGGGCGTTAAGAGGGAAAAAGGAATAGAACTGGATTTGACTAAAATGATTAAGCAATTGTCGAGGACAATATGAGGTTTGCCAAAGATTGGTTGTTCATGGACAATTGGAAGTATAGAGATAGGACCATATTGACATATTCTGAAAGGAGGCAATTCTTGTTCAGAAGTGATAGTCAAAATAAGAATATAGAATTGTCTCCATAGGTGAAAGTTATTTTTTGAATCTGTGTAAGATTAGAAAACTTAATGCAAGAAGGGTGTTCAAAGGAATGTATTTTGAATATGAGACTTCGTTTCCATGGAATTGCTCTCCATTGGAATACTTTGTAATGTATGTTGCCAAGTCTTTGTGACTTGTGTTCATATTCATTGCAAGGGGATCATTGCATATAAGTTGAGAATCTAATATATTATAGTAAATGGCAAGAGTTTGGTATTCTTACATTTACAATAAGGATTGAGATTGTGAAATGAGGATCATTGAAACATTGTCAATTGATCGTTTCACAAAGTAAGGATCATAATACAAACATAGTGTGCATACTTGGAGTATGGCATAGCTATTGTTTAGACAAACATAGTGTGCATGCTTGGAGCATGGCATTACTATTGTTTTTATTCAAGTATTAAGTTGATAAATCGAAACATTATGCAATGAATAATGAGTAATCAATATGGTGCTTAGATAAAAGGTGTTTTTATTTACACTCAAAGTGTTGGGGCCATATAGGATTAGTATTATTCTTGTGTTTTCATTTGCATGTTTTGACTTCCAGAATAACTAGGTCATTCTTACCGAATGACTAAGTTATTCAAACCATCCGCAGTCGATAATACGTTAGAAGTAGGTATTAAGGCAAGACTGTCATGAATTGGGTTTGTAGATGTCTAAAGTGTTTAGACATAGCAAAAGGTTGCTGCAACATTCATGAGTGCTCCTAGAATGAGATTCGAGTATTGGATTAAACCCACGCTCATTTGAATCACTTCATGGATTTTATCACGAGTGAATCATGAGACGATAATATATCTTATATTCTTCAAACCTATAGATATGAGTTGTTGACTATGAGTTGGTTATACATTGATTGCACGAAAACGCATTGGTAACTCGATGTTATAAAATGTGCCTTCGTGTATGATTCAACAAGTAGTTAGTACAAGCATATGAGTCAAAGTTTATCCATTTCTTTTACCCTTAAAGGGATAAAAGTGATATCTGTGGGCCCCTCGATGATTTAGTGATGACACCCCTAAGTGCTTGGCCAAGCCTGGACTGATTTGATCTGTTCAATTAGTCAGTTGTCATAAATCGAAAATCGGGAAACAACAAATGGACAGAGAGAATGATTATAATCCATGTATCAGTCCATATGATATCTACAATGGAGGAATATATGATCACTTATCTAATGGACGCGTCATTTGATTTGTTCAGAGTTCGACAACGGCTTTAAGAGCTACGATTGCTAGTCGGGTTATGAAGTCGTACTTGCAATAATAGTTATTAGACTTATCCAAGTGGGAGACTGTTGGATTAGTGTCTAAGTCCATAACTATAATTGGTATGACTTGACCCGACCCGGCATGGTCCATTTGGGTAGCACTTCACGGGAACAATTTGTATGGATAGACTTATGAGAAAAGGATATTTATGATTTATTAATATATTATAAGTTATAATATATTAATATGAAATCATATCATTTAATTAGTATTTATCAAGAATTAATTTGGAATTAATTTAGTGATCAAAAGAGGCTAATTAAATATGGACTCTTATATATATATGGAATGGGCCAAGGTTTATTTAGGATGGGCTAAAAGTGTTTGGAAGTCCATGGATAGTCCATGGAGCTTTTAACTAATGGATCCTATGTAAGTGAAAGGTCATGGGTATTAGGGTTTACATGGATGTAACCCTAATCCTCCATAATATATAAAGGGGTCCTTGGCTCACAAAATTGGCACTAGTGTGTGTGAAAGAAAAGGTGGCCGATTTTAGTGAGCTCCATATTCTCTCAAGTTCTTCCAAGTTGTTGATGGTGATTTGTGATTCCACTTGAGGCTTCCACACTATTAGGGCTAAGCTCTTAAGGCTAGATACATCAAGACTTCAATCTCCACTATAAGGTATGTTATCCTAATTAGATTCTTGTGTGGTATATGTCAATTGTATGCTAGTCATAGGTTTAATACCTTGGAAACACCATTGCATGTATAATTAGTGAAAACATAGATCCAAGGTATTTAGGGTTGCATGAACACCTTAGGAGTGTTAGAATGCTCAAAACCCAACAGAGAGTTTTATCAAATAAGGATCAGACAGGAAGGACCATTTCGGCATATAGCCTTTCTGAAATCCAACAACCAAGCCAACATGACCATTCTAGACACCTCTCCCATAAGCAGATTAATCAGCATTATAACTTGAATTACTGTCAAATCTTATTTATACATCCATAACAGCAACTATGAATATAAATATAAGTTACACTTAAATAGTGCATACCATGTACTAAGACACTTTAGGCTCTCCTAGGATTCCTACCCCCACCCGTTATCAACTGCGAAAGAATCTTATGAATACAATCACATGCAATAAAATTAAACAATCCTTTGGCTAAAAGATTTTGCACTACAACGGTTGGACTCAAACAAGAGCTACGTAATAGAGCCAAATCAATCATTCTAAAATTATTTAATCTTTATGGAATGCAACCTAACGTATTTGCTTAATAGTTAATTAACATCAATATAACTTTCACATAGCAAGAAGCAAGTAGCATTCGAGCAACAAACCAACTCGAAATAAGGCATCATAAAGATCAGACAATTATAACACATAATTCCTAAAGATCCTTAGTCTACACACTATCATGCACCTCTAACAGTTCACATATCAGGCACAACTAGGCATTTTTCCTAAGCATGCATTCTATCATGCAATCCTAAGCAGATCCTTAGCCCTATTCTAGCATGTGATTCTCATATTAGCATACTAAAGTATATCATTCATGTATGGGTATTTTGGGAATCACTTACTTGAGCTAGGTTGATTGAATGCATTAGACCCCTTTCTTGATAAAAACTTTTTAGAAAAAATCATTTCCTTTTTAAAATATTTTGTTAGTCCCCAGTTTGAGCTCAGACACACTGGTAAGTGTTCTTGACTCCCTCAAGCCATGGTTTTGATACCAACTTGTAACGTCCTAAAAATACGAAGTAAAATTTTCATTTTTAAAACCTCCCATACCATTCATTCATTGATTAAAGATAACCAAAGTGTATCAAGTTCTCAAACATCAAAGTAAATCATAAAATATAGTGCATAACAAAACTCCAGGGGATGCAATGCGATCAATTCGGGCCCTTCCCTTTGGAACCAGA